AAAATAGTATAGCATACCAACACTACACAGTAGCCTTCTGACAAGATATATACGATATTATCTGATACCTAAAGCATTATAATAAAAACGTGTTTGAACATGAATCTTTTTGTTTTGGGCGAAGCCCAAAGAAATTGTTTCCTATTATCTCGCATTTATAAGCAACGGTACCCTAATGTGCGACATCCAAGTCCTGGAACATTTTCCACACCACGAGAACGTTTTGAATCAAGTGGAACAGTGGAATATAGTAAAAAATGTATAAATAATCCTAGTGTCACCAATGAGGCGAGTCAGTTGGAGGTTCTATTAAAGTTGCAGGAAAATCCCCATTTAAGTTAAGTGCACGGCAAATTGGAGCAGAAATTGGTATATGCAGAACTTCTGTCCAAAGGATTATTCATAAGCATTAGGTACCATCCATATCACCTATGCTTCCAACATGACGGGGCACCTGCACATTATCATAATCGTGTTCGTAACTATTTGGACACCAGGAGTAACAATCGTTGGATCGGTCGTGATGGGCCTATATCTTGGCCTCCTAGATCACCAGATATGACACCGATGAACTTCTTTCTATGGGGCTACGATAAGCAAGAGGTTTATAGATATACACCATCTACCCCGGACAATATGAAGGAAAGGATTAAGGATGTTTTCTGAACATAAGGGGACACATGCTGAGGGATGTGCAACGGTCATTTATCCAAAGACTACGGCTGTGTATTCAACATGGTGGTGTTATTTTCGAGCAGTTTTTGTAGATTGCTCTTGAGTAGTGATAGTTGTTTGTTTATGTTGTTGTTATAGTTGTTTTTCTCTATTACGCTTGAAGCTGATTTATACTGTTCTGATTGTTATTAGTTCCTACTTCAAATATGTACTCTTAGTGGCAATATGGAACTAGCCCACTGTTTTCTTTTTGTTTCCATGGATGATGTTATTTTTTTCCTTAATTTTGGTGTGTTGTTCTATTGAAAGCTTATTAACTCAAAATCTAGTAGGATTTTATCTGAATCAAACCTTATACCAAAAAAAAGCTTATAAAAACTGAATCCAAACTTTTACAAATATACAGGGTGAAGCATTTGAAATTTTTGAAAAAAAGTAAAATTCGCGTTTTTGTATGAGCAAAAATGAAAATTCGAAAAAGTAACAAATGGGATAAAAGGTGAGGTGTTTTTTTTATACAAAATTCAGCACTCCAAATTTCAAAATGGCGGATTGAGGGGTTGCTGAAGTGGACGGTTTTTCTGGACAAAACACCTTACATCTCTCAGTAGCTAATTATCAGAACCCCATAGTATTTTTGGTTTATCCAAATATGCAAAAAAATTTGAGGCATTCCATTTAAAAAATCACTTTGATATGTGTGCCAAAATTGGGAGACCCTGTTTAATTGCCAATATTTTAGAAATGTGCCCTCAAATGTCATGTATAACATGCTAGAAATAGATTTTCCAAAAATGTATTTGTTTATGAGTAATATTCCGTCCACACATGGATGGGCCACCCTGTATATGTTACGAAAATTTGATTAATACTACAAGAACTATTCGGCGTACAAAGTCCCAACATCAAGAACACTCTGTATAATGTAATTGACTAATATTCCTTACCATTTAGCCTGCTTGTTTTAAAGTTTGCTTTTCAATAAATGTTAATAAAAACCAAACAAAAATACAACCACGTGAATCACAGCACTGCATTAATGCCGGTAAATGCGTATTACGCTGTAAATAAGAGCTCTTTGATCCTGGCTGCATTTTGGTTTGTACGTAGGCACACAACATGAAAGAATTTAATAACTCCCGATACGTTGAGGGAAGAGACAAACTCCCATTCTGACGTTATTAAAGTACGGAAAAACATGGGCGTAGTTTGACTAAACAAAACGGATACAAAAAAATTAATAAAAAAATGCATTATTCATCTGCGACATCGCTATTGGGTTTGGTTATATTTTTTGTTAAGTGTTATGGTGACCAACTTCAAAATGCTACCGACGCTTCGCGAGTGCATGCAGATCGCTTTCCCAGGCGTTATGATTCAAGGCCGCGTAAATTTGTTTACCTTGTGCAAAGAGCTGGGGATACAGTTTTGCAGGAATGTCGAGGTGGGCACATTGGGTGACCGAAAGGTGCAAACTGAGGAATGAGTGTTGAATCTTGTAGAAGAAAATCCTTCAACAAGCACTAGGGAAGTGGCTAGACAAGTGCAAGTCTCCAAGACTAAAGTGTGGTAAACGCTGCGTGATGGTGGGTTGTAGCACTTTGTATGTACAAGCCTTCCAAGCTGAGGATTTTCCTGCAAGAGTGCGTTTTTGTGTTGTCACTGGATCCTCTCGTAATCCGTCGGTCACATTTTCAACAAACATTTTCTTTGAACATTTTTGAACTGGCATGATAAAATGGTATGCTCACTGGACATCGGCTGGAGGGTTTACAATACGAAACATTTTACCAAGGGCGACAACTTCGAATAGTACTTATAAGTGACACACCATTTCATTTATTTTTTTTAGCTTTTTTATTTCAGGCATAGTTAGTTGTTTCTGAAAAGGAAACATCCTAACTTTCAGAAGACAAATCCACAACGACGACATCAAAACATATTTGTCTATAAGGGATATTTATGTTTGTCTGAATTTACAGATGGAGTTGAATAGTATTCGAACTTGGTGAGATGTCAAAAACCTACATCTAATTACCAATAAGTGCAAGGTTGTTAGTTATAGTAGGAAAAACTCTTCATATTTTCATCTATAAGATTGATGGTACGTTGTTGGATAGATGTGATACAATCAGAGATGTGGGTGTTCTTCATGACTAAATATTAACATTATTTCTCAAAAAGTTTCATAAGCGCTCAACTAATACGGGAATTGTAGGGATTCCGTAACGGCTTTGAAGGTATATTAATTAATATGCGAGTATTATACGAAATTAAAAAGGTTCAAAGAAGGTTCCTTAAAATCCTTGATATAAGTCCGAGGGAGTTTATTCTGAGCAAGGAGTTAGCAATGGAGAGCTGTGTGGGCATTTTTGTAGACGGCTCCTGTCAAAATTTCGTCGGATTAGTTTTGTTTTGACCAAGTGTGGAAGCGGGCGTGTCCGCGAATTTGAGAAAATGGAAAAAGAGCAATATCGGTCGGTGTCTCGTTTATGGAAAGCAAATCGCGTAGCGAAATCAAAGTGCGCTTGGATGCTGTGTACGGTGCTCTTCTGCTTCGATAGCGACCGTCAAAAATTGGTTTAACGACTTTTCACGTGGTCGCACGTCGATTTTTGATGAGCCACGCCCAAGTGCCCGGAAAACGGCAAGCACTCAGGATAACGTGACAAAAATCCACGATCTCGAGTTGCCAGACCGCCGATTGAAGGTGCGCGAGATAGCTGAAACAGGAGGCATCTCAAAAGATCGCGTGGGTCATATACTGCATGAAACATTGGGCACGAGAAAGCTGTCTGCGCAATGGGTGCAGTGTTTGACGCTGTTTAAGCGTAGTCGGAAGAAGTTGCTGCGTCATTTCTTGACCGTCGACGACACATGGGATCCACTGGTACACACCAGAGAGCAAGGAACAGTCGAAACAGTGAACGTGCTCCGAAGAAGGCGAATACTGTCCTATCGACCGGAAAGGTGATGGCCACCGATTTCTCTGATTCACAAGGTGTGATTTATATCGACTACCTGGAGAAGGGCAAAACGGTCTCAGGCTCCACTATGCCGAATTATTGAGTCGATTCGATGCCCCATTTGGCGAAGAAAAAAGTGCTCTTCTACCATGACAACAAACCGGCTCACACCGTCGTCGTCGCCACGGTCGAATTAACTACGAAATGCTGCTCCATCCCCCCATCCAACGCATTCTCCAGATTTGGCCTCGTGCGACTTCTCTGTTTCCAAACTTGAAAAAGTCACTCGCAGGTCAGAAATTTGAGTCGAATGAGATTATCGCCGCCGCGGAGGCCTACTTTGCAGACCTACAGAATACGTATTTTTCAGACGGGTTAAAGAAGTTGGACTATCGCTGGGTGAAGTATATCAAACTTAAAGGAGAGTATGTTGTAGATTTTCATTTTTCTTTTAAACCTCTAGACTCTAGAGCATTGATTCCCAAAGTGGTCTATATCGACCCCTAGGGGTCTATGATAACCTGCAAGGGGTCTACGTCAGCGAAAAAAAAATTGGGGCTCCATGAAATGAATATGGGGGTCCACGATAGTGGATCTCAACACATACACTGATAGTACCTATTTACTTACATCATACTATCATATAATATCAAAACATATACATTGTTTATAAAAGTACCTATGAAGTACAAAATTTATTATATATATTTATAAAATTGTGTAAGTTGTAGGATGTTGGTATTCGCTTTGTGGTCGCAATACATTTTGAACTTGTAAAAACCTGAGAGTCGCAGTCTCAGAGCTTCGCTACCTTGCACTGACTTGTTCAATTCGACACTCTATAAATACGAATGTGGGACAAATACGTTTATTCGTTTCCTGAATCTTGAAAAGGAAAGTGCTAAGAAAATATTTTAAAAAATATAACCAGATGGTATATCACACAAATTATAGTGACTCAGTGTTATTTTGTTTGAGAGTGCTGGAGAAAAGCAAGTACATTATTTTTTATTAAATTTTAGTTTTGTACTCGTAGTTAGCAAAGATAGATAAATTACGCCAATCATGACTTTAGTTATTAGTAGTTAAATATTCAATCATGCAAAATTACACGATTACTCCTCAATAGTTTCTTTTTGAAAGTTTTAGCAATCGGTAATATAATTACAGTGCAATCTCCGTAATTCGAGCTAATTGTTGCAAGAAGATGTTCGAATTATGGAATGTTTTCGGAAAAATCAAAAAATATTTTTAATATACAGCTCCTGGATTTTCTGTCTTATTTAAATAATTTAATTTTGCCCACAGCTGACTGATGCCATGTCCGAATCTAAAAAGAAATGTAGACATGTAGTGTTGATGAAATTTGGCTTCATTCCATCATTGCCCGACAAACAATCGCCTATGTGCGTTGTATGCAACAGTTTTGCTATGAAACCATCTAAACTGCAAGATTATCTGAGAAGATGCCACCCTGATAAAACAGAGAAAGATTTGAAATACTTTCAAACACTCAAAGATAAATTTCAGAAGAGACCTACACTGGACAGAATGTTCGCTTCGACGTCACAAAGAAATGATGATGGTTTGCGGGCGTCTTGCAATATCTCGTTACTTATAGTAAAATCCGGAAAACCGCAAACTATCGGAGAGAAGTTAATTTTGCCAGCCGTTGAAGAGGTTTTAAAAACTGTTTTACACAAACCTGCATCTGATATCATTAAAAGAATTCCCTTAAGCAACAATACTGTTGAAAGACGTATTGATGAAATGAGTTCTGATATTGAAAGCTTCTTAAGTAATTATTTGCAAACGACCCATTTCTCTATACAACTGGACGAGTCAACTTTACCTGATAATGCAGAATTATTATTGGCATATGTTTGTTTTATTATGAATCAAGAAATCTACGAAGAACTGCTCTTCGCAAGAACTTTGATAACCGACACTAAAGGTGAATATTTGACAAGATTTTTTGCACTTTTTGAGACTATTTTAGAATTTCTGGATACTAAAGATAAAATTTTAAAAGAAAATTTAATGAAGAGGAAAACAGACATCGCCTATTTAACAGATTTGTTTACAAAATTTAATATGGTTAATTTGCAATTACAAGGCGACAGTTTAAATTTGATTAAAACAATGTCCATCTTATCAGCGATTCTTGCCAGAGTTAAACTAATGAAGCAAGATATTGAACGGGGCGAATTTTCTCAGTTCCCCAATTTGTCACAGACAAGCTGCAAGGAAGACGACGTTTCTACTTACGTTCAACATTTAAATGCCCTCTATTCAGATTTTGAATCTAGGTTTGAGGATATTTTGACTATGGTAATACCACCGTGGATAATTAATCCATATGGTGACATAGAAGAAACGAATGTCATAATACAAGAGGAACTGACTGAACTAAGTACAAACGAAGAACTTAAGGTTCAGTTTAAAAACGGATATCAGCAATTCTGGATGCAAAACAACATACCCGTTACTTATCCCGTATTATGGAATATAGCGAGGACATTTTTAATTTCCTTTCCATCGTCATACCTAGTGGAAAGGGGGTTCAGCGCTGTTACCAATCTCCTAACGAAAAAAAGAAACAGACTGGACATCATTCGCCGAGGAGATTTAGGATTAACCCTTACAAAATTGACGTCAAATGTTGATAATTTATTATTAAAGCATCAGGTTCATCCTTCTTACTAAAAATATTGACTTATTGCTTATGTTATTTTATTTATAGTTTATTTTATTTTTATTGGTGTCTGACCAATAAATGCCCGCATTGGGAATAAGTGCCCGCATTGATTTTTTTAAGGAACCCCCCTTTATAGAAAATATTTTTTTTAAATTATTCTGAAAATTCAAGGATAGGTACACACTAAAATTCGTTAATTTTTTGCCTATTTTTAGATAACTCAAACGTATAAGAAGCGGAATTTAATCAAACTAACAGTGAAATTATTGTAGAACATACGTTTATGTTATAATTAATAAACGAACTCGCTTATTGTACTATTTTAAGTAAAAAACTTTTTTTTATTATTTTACACTTTTTTTTTATTTTATCCCTCTTATTTTTTTTTCAATGCGGGCACTTATTCCCAATGCGGGCACTTATTGGTCAGACACCTGTTTATTTAATGTTACGTATATTTTACATAACAGATACAAAATTTTATTTTGAGTAGTTTTAATTTAAATTCAATTAATAAATGTATAAATTAACATGTGTTTTTACTTTAAGTTTTTAACACTAAACTTCACTACAGTTAGAAATTTACAGGAAATCAATATCAGGTAAGTAGGGGGTCTACCCAACACGGAAAAACATGGCAAGGGGTCTACGACACAAAAAAGTTTGGGGAACTCTGCTCTAGAGCAAGGACCAACGTTTTGGTCAAGTCACCTTGCATGTAATATTTAAACATTTCAATACAGCTGTCATTGCTATATATATTTATATCTTAGTGTAGTAATTAGGATGGCTTATCAGTACTTGAATTGATTATTTTCTTTCCAAACTCTGCCGCAGACTATTAGTTTATTTTGTTTAAGTAATTGTCCTGTAACCACCTTGAGAGTTGTCGGCTCGTAATTACCAGCGGCAAGATTGTCGTAACATTACT